CTAGACATCGTGGGGATTCTTTTTAAAATGATAAACACATAGGGGCTGGAGAGATGGCTCAGAGGTTAAGAGCATTGCCTGCTCTTCCAAAGATCCTGAGTTCAGTTCCCAGCAACCACATGGTGGCTCACAACTATCTGTAAAGGGGTCTGGTGCCCTCTTCTGGCCTGCAGGAATATACACAGACAGAATATTGTATACATAATAAATAAATATTTTTAAAAAAATAACAAACACATAAAACCAGGCGTGCGTTTATTGTGTTTATCCTTTTATATGATTACAAATCCAAAGGGAATTTACAAGTTAAATCTAAACAAAATGGCTAAACCAGTTCAGTTTGACAATGAAAGAGAGTTTGCTGACTTCCAGGTAGTTCCAACAGTATTCACTTTTCAGAACCTAGATTCTGGATTTTACCTTTTTGAAAAATCTATAAGTTTTTAAGGGTTGATTCTTTGAAAATTCAATCCTGGAAGAAACATTACCTAGTGGAAATCAAGACATGGACAGGCGTCACAAATTAAAAAATAAACGTACTAAAGGCTGAGCTTCACAGTCTAATCTTTAACATGTGAAATAGGAGCGCATATGTAGGAAAAATGATTGAAGAATAGCCATCTCAATGCCTCCAAAGATGGCTCCTGGATATAAACAGAGCAATCTGAATTTTCATCCTATATTTTTCTACATGTTTAAAAATTTCCACAATGAATATGTATTACTTATATAAATAAGAACAAGTACTTCAAAGGAAAGGGTAACTGATGCTAATTTTCGAGTAAGTATAAACCTAATTCACGTGTATTTTAGCGTGTAATATAGACACACTGCTCTCACTTTTTCTATCTTTCAAATTTCTATTCCCAGGCCTCCTGCCAGCTCAAGGCCTTGTCCTTCCAGAACCAAATTGTCCTGGCCAGCAGATGACACAGCCTAGAATAATAATCATATTCATTGTATATATAATAAATGTATGTGTATGTTGCCTCCACAAAGCTCGGGGATCAATGCAGAGAGGAGAAGGGGGCCACAGAAAGATTGTTAAGAGTCAGAGGTCAGGGAGAACCAGAGCAAAGCAATGTCTATTTTATCTCTGTATATGTTTGTAATTTTCCATAGTAAAAAGTTGAAAATGTGCTGCCTTTCATTTGGTGTGGCCTGTGTGAACTCGTGCAGAGAGCAGAATTGGGGGGTTGGGCAGAAATGAGCAGAGTGACTGTGTAAATTGCTCTGTCTCTGCCACCATGTTTCCCCTTTCTGCAAGACAGTAAGAACTAAAAAATACCACGTGTTCAGATTCTTTGCAGCAATTAGAATGTTCTGACATTCAGACTTGAGTTTCTTGAAATCAAATTTGGTTTTTAAAAAAGAAGCTAGCAAGGTCAGCTGCCTGCTGCCTGCCTAGACACTTGGTTATGTAATGGGCACACAGCAGGGATGGATGTTCTCTGGGCAGGAACACCCATGGTGTATGCCAGGAGAGACTCTTGCCTGTCCAGCTGCAGCTTCTCAGCTCACTTGCCTAGGATGTCTTCAGCTCATTGCTGAAAGCAGACAAGAAAATGAAGACACTGCTGGGAAACTGGAACTGATCTAGAATACCTGAAGACAATTCATGGCAAGGTCTGGAAACAGAATATCTGGCCCTCTCTTCAACACCAAACAGTACACCATGGAATCAGAGCAGCTCAGTCTGCAGATGTGGGAGCATTGTGCAGCCCGCCACAAACCTGACCACACGATTAAGCCCATATAAAGACTGTGCACAGGAGAATTTCCCCTGTACCTGAGCCTCAGCCTTCTGGGGGAAAGGGAACTAGATGACGTGCTTTGTGCTTATCTGCCCAGCACCAAGTTGCAGACACATGGTCTATCACAATAATAGAACAGCACAGCCAGACTTGCCTCCTGTATGCTAGGGAGAGACAAGAGATAAGAAGCGGCTACTCCACGGGAATGTTAATCGTGAACAGTTGTGGTGCTGTTATTGATACTAATGTAGATCTCTTGCCTAATTTTCCCCTAATCACCAGTGTTTACGTCCTTGACTGCCCCTCCAAAGCTGCTTCCAAAAGTGATCGTGTGTAATGAGATTTGTATTTTCCTTTCTAACCGTTTTTAAAGTGAGTCATGTTCTTCCTATTTCTTTCGGCAGAAATAAAATCCCAGGTAAGTATAAATATTCAAATGTTTGATTAGTAAGTTGCAGTTCTTTCTGTACATTAAATACAGCTCACTGACAGACTGCGAGGAAAAGCTCCGAAAGGACCAGCCCTATACAGGCAGTTGTTTTCCAGACTGTGTTGGTGTATACGTTCTGAATTTAGTCTCCACATTTATGGACTCGGCCCGGGTAGTGGTGAATTTGTATCACTCCTTGTTTAGAGGACAAGTCAGACATTCATTTGCCCTCCTGGAGCTCGAGTTCTTGGTGATAAAAGGACAGTTGCATTTCAACAAAAGGGTGGAGGGCTTGAGGCTTAAATAAGAGGCCACAGGACTCTGTGCTGCAACCCTGCGCTCAGACTCCAGCACAGACCGGTTTTGTCTGTTAGAGCTCTAGATTAAGCCTTTCCGAAGCACCAGGCAGCGCACCTAGTCAGTCTGCAGCCGCAACTGTGGCCTGAAGGTACCTTAGCTGACAAGTTATTGATAACTAAGAACCTGAATTGTGATTCTTACTCCTAGTTAAAACCTAAGCAAGGAGTGGCATGTGTAATTCTGAAGCAGAACTGTAACAAACTGTGTAGCTTTAGGGATGTAAATCGAGGAACACCAGTTAAGGGATTTCTTAATTTAATTTTTAACTGAATGAATATCAGTTCAAGGATGCCGGCCAGCATGGTTACAGGTGAACTGATTTTCAAAACCCACTGAACTGTGGGAAAGGATAATCGCCGTCCAGGGCCACAAGGCTGTGACCTGTGGCCGCTTTACACAGCACATCATTCCTCCTACAGAAGAACTTCTTCCTGGCACGGAAAGTAGCCGCTCTGGTTGGAGCTCTGCATATTGCAACAGGCTTTTATTTCCAGGTAACATGTCTGTGGAAGACTTAATTCTGATAGAGTTATAGATATGACTGGAAGCAAATTTGTTTTTTTTCTATTATACTCTGCTTTATTGAAATAATAAAGAATTTAATTTGTGCTCCAGAAATTCAGATGTTCTCTTGTGATCTGTAAGCAATAAATGGATAAATCCCCTTAAAAGAAAAGTTGGCCTAACATTGAGCATGTAAAGGTGTTCTCTAAGTGTGCAGTCACGGTTTTCTTATCTAATTAAAGCGGTATTTACTAAATAGATGAAAGGGCGTGGCCCAGGTTTGTTGATCATTCATTCAATAATTAAAATTAATACTGAGTGAATGAAAGAGATGTGTGCTAACAGGTATCTAATTAATAATACACACTATATCATTAAAATTAATTAGTTAATATGTTCAGAAATTATTTATGATATATATATAATTTATATATTTTACTTAGTCCTTACTTTAGTGGTTTCTCCTTGGCAGAAAACAGTGGGTCATGGGGCGCTTTTGTCCAACATGGGGTGCTCAGCCATTGAGACAGGGCCAGTGAAAATCAGGCGCTGAGGTCATCACCCTGTAGATCCTCCAAGTTCCAGCAGAGGGAGCGCTACACCGTGGGTGTTTGGTGGGGACCAGAACCTAGAAAATACCTCCTCCCTGCCTGACAATTTTTGGTGCTGGTACTATAGAACTGGATGCGGCACGGTCTCTGTCTAGCTCACAGACAGACATATAAACAATAATGATCGTATAGAGGCAGCAAGGCTGTAATAAAGTGTCACAGGGTGCTAAGGGACTATTAACTCTGGCTCCAGGGGTCAGGGAAGACAGCAGTGAATGTGAGCGGCACTGTGAAAGAGAATAAAGGTTTATCAGACAGACAAAGCAGAACGGTAAGGGCAGACACATGGAGGTAAGCACAAGAAAGTAGTTTGGTTTTGTGAAAAAGAAGCCGTAAAGAGCCTAGAACATGGGAGAGGGGCTGGATAGCGGGCGGAGCCACAGTTCCCGCTGAAGCCACAGCAGGAAAGGCTTTAGTCTTCTAGTGAAAAGAGCTGGAGAGTCCAACTTACTGCAGTGAGAGGACTTCAAGTCACTCTGGGGTAGAGGGCGCCTTTATAGCTGCCCACATATCCAAGTAGGTAGGTGTGCGTGTGCGCTTGTGTGTTCTCCTTCTGAAGCAGGATCTCAAGCTGCCTTTAAACTCATGGCAATCCTTCGGGCTCAGTATTTCAGGTGCTGGGTTTATAGGTTGTGTCACGGTGTCTAGCTAGGCTTTAAAGGATTTTATCTTTCATAGGGTTCTCTGGGGACCATTTATTCACTTCAAAGTCATCTTCGTCCTGATTTTGTAGGCAGAGCCTTGCCTGGTTTCTGTAGGAGGCAGCCATGATAAGCTAAAAATGAACAGATCACTCAAAGAAAGTTCTTTACTTCCAACCATTATCACCTGCCATTGTAGGACTCAGCCACCGATAAGTTTAATGGAGGCCCTGCCTTCAGCAGATCCACAGTGAAGCCCAGTACTCATCAGGTAAGACTTAGCTTTTAAGGATGGTGGGAGGCAGACGAGATGACTCAGAGGTAAGAAAGAATGAAAGTGTGGACCCAAGGTGGCCACTTTAAATAACATTTTTTAACCCTGACTCTTTACAAAACATTTAAAAATTCATTTGTATTTATTGTGTGTGTGTGTGACCTCACGAATGTGGAGGTCAGAGGACAACTTTGGAGAGCTGGGTTTTGCCCTCCATTAGGAGGGCTCTGGGGATCGAACTCGGGTCCTTAGGTTTGGTAGTAGGATCTTTACCTAACTCTGAGCCCCCTTGGTTACCATCGGCAGAGCTTGGCAGAGACTTGGTCTCCAGGGCATATGTCACCAGAATCGATGGGAAGAAAGGAGCAAGGCCGCTGAGCTGACCTGAACCTCTGGGTGACTTCCAGCTGGCAGGAGGGATTTCACTCTGCCCTGATTCACCCTGGAAGCCTCATCCCCTCCGCTTGGACAAACATCTGGCTCCGTTTCCAAGCAGAAGCACTTCTGAGCTGACCAGTCCGACTAGCTCGCTCCCCGGAAGTCATCAGGCCCCCAAGGGAAGTGGATGGGAGCCTACCAGGCCAGAATGCCTTGGCTGAGGCAGCGCCTTCAGCGGATCCACAGTGAAGCCCAGTACTCATCAGGTAAGATTAGCTTTTAAGGGTAGTGGAGGGCGGGCGAGATGGCTCAGAGTTTGGTAAAGGGGCCTGTTGCCGAGCCAAAGACCTGTGTTCAACACCTAGGATCCACATGAAGAAAGGAGAGAACCAACCCCCACAAGTGGTCTTCTGACCTCCACACGTGTGCAGTGTCACGTGGGCACCCCCTAAAACATAAATACACAATAAATAAATATTCAAAAATAATTTTAAAGGATGATAAGGGCTTAGGGGTTCCTAGTCTATGGCACACTTTTTAATTAGAACAAAGGAATCTTAGAAAATAAAAGTCACTTGGTTTGACCCCATTATGTCACAAAAATGGAACCGAGGACCTAAGGGTTTAAATGAGGTTGACTTGCACCCCAGTGTGTCTGCCACAGCCCTGGACACACTTGTATTTCCAGTGTAAACACCAGAAACGCCACCTTACTTTTCGAAGCGTCCTGGGCTGGACAGTACACTGTATGGCCAGCCACAACATCTTAGAGAAAAGGAGTAAAAGCAATGGAAGAGTGAGAAGTGGAGAGCAGAGGGGCGAAAGAAATGGCGGAAAATGACGCCAACCAGAGCGGCTCTCCCGCACCACACTTCCGTTTTGAGGGTTCTGTTACTAAATTCCATGTTTGGTTCACGGAAAGCAATCCATTTTCAAATCTTGGTCGATCAAAACGAAAAGGGTTTTCCATTAATTTGTGGTGCTACGTTTCAATTCTGTCCGGCTGTCGCGAACAGATGGCCCCAGATCACTTACGTGGAGATGCTGAGGAGGTGCAGCGGGGAAGGGCAAAATGGCGGCGGACTGTCAGTGAAGCTGTTTGACTTTGGGCTGTAAGAGGAAGGGATGCTTGCTCACTCCCTGACCGAGTGCTTGCTCACCCCCTGACCCTGAAAGTTGTCACTGTTGCCGGCTGGAAATCAATTTCCTCTCATCAACCTCACCACTGCCACGTATCATATTCCGCCCACAAGGAAGGGGTCATCTCACCGACTGCTTCCATGAATGGGTTAAAATATATTGTAAGAAAGTCACATTCTGGGGTTGGAGAGATGGTTAAGAGCTCTGGCCTCCCTTGCAGAGTATCCAGGCTCACAAACATCTGTAACTCCAGTCCTAGGGGACCTGATGCCCTCTGCTGATCTCTGTGGGCACCAGGAATGCATGCAGGGCACAGGCAGACGTACAAATAAAACACCCATACACATACACCTCTTGCTGTGCAGGACCTGAGTTTGGCTCCCAACACCACATCAACAGCTCGTAACCACCTATAACTCCTGCTGCAGGGGAATCAGATGTTTCTGTCCTCCTGGGACACCGGCACTCCTGTGCACATAGCCCCTCCCCCGACACCCACACATAGGTAATTTAAAATAATCAAAATAGCTGGGCGGTGGTGGCGCACACCTTTGATGCCAGCACTACAGTGCTGTGGGAGATTTGCGTACTGCATGAAGTTATATTGCTGTGATTGGTGTAATAAAAAGCTAAATGGCCAACAGCTAGGCAGGAGGTAGAGACGGGATTTCTGGGGAGAGAAAGGAAGGGGAGAGGGGATCTAGGTGCACAGGAGATGCCAAGAGACATGGAGAGGTAACAGGAGGTGAAGATGGAAGAGAAGTAAACCACGTGATAAAATGTAGATTAATGTAAATGGGTTAACTTACATTACAAAAATAATTAGGAACAAGCCTAAACTATAGGCGGAGCTTTCATAAATAATATTAACTCTCCCTGCCGTTATCTGTGAGCTGGTGGCCCAAAGAAAAATACAACTACGTAGGGCATCCAACATGGAGACTCAAATATCCAAACACAGGGCCAGAGAAAGCTGAGAACAGTTCTGGACAGGAGGCAGATGTGGCTTCCTAGTCTTGCAGTCTCTCAGGCAGGCTGGTGCTTGGTGTACAGAGACATGGCTACCGGCCATTTCCTGTAGGCTGGAGCCAGCCGCCAGAGCCAGGTATTGCCAAGTGATAGAACTTAGATTAATATAAACGGGTTAATTTAAGTTATAAGAGCTAGTTAGGAGCAAGCGTAAGCGATAGGCCGACCTTTCATAATTAATAAGAAATCTTCTTGTCATTATTTGGGGGCTGGCTGGCAGGATAGAAAAAGACTTGCTACACTAGGGAAGCAGAAGCAGGCAGAGCTTGGTGAGTTCAAGTCCAGCCTGGTCTACAGAGTGAGTTCCAGGACAGCCAGGGCTGTTAGACAGAGAAACCCTGTCTCGAGAAACCCAAATAAATAAATAAAATTAAAATTAGATAATAAAAATAAATCTTTTCCTTTAAGTGGTCTTTATTTTAGAGCTGGCTTCTGTTTTTTGTTTGTTTTCTTCTCAGTCACAGTTTGGCTCATTTGTTTCAGGAACGCACACAGGTAACAGAGATGTGTGACCTAACACGTTTTCACAAGGGAGTCTACAGTGTGGGAGGCACTGAGATCAGCATGCACAGTTCCAGATTCCAGCAGCTTCCTGTGTGTCCCTTGTAAGTCATTGTTTTCATCAAGGATAGCTCTTATCTTCTGCCGCTATTGGTAAGTTTTGCCTGCACTAATTGCAATGTAATTGGCATCACACAGTTAATATTAATAGGGTTTTAAAAACCTGAATAGGGGTGACAAGATGGCTCAGTGGGTAAAGACTCTTCCCACCAGGTCTGGCATCCTGAGTTCCATCCTCAGGACCCACATGGTGGGAAAGAACCAACTTGTGAAAGTTGTGCTCTGACCTCCATGTGTGTCCCGCAGCATTCTCCACTCTCCACCTCCAAAGAAATAAATAATGTAATAAAGAATTTTACACCATGTGACTTTATTGCCAATGCTTGTAGTGGAGGATGTTTCACCTAAAACAATTCATATTTGAAGGGTTGAAGGGATGGTTAAGAGCCCTGGTTATTCTTCCAGAGGATCCAGTTTCAATTCCCAGCTCCTTTGGCCCCTGTGGGCACCAGACACGCATGTGGTACATAGACATACATGAAGGCAACACACTCATTAAAAAATGAAATAAAATAGAAACCCAGATTAGAAACAATGACAAATAGGAGTAGGTAAAGCACTTGCTGTACACGTGACACATATGAAGCTTACGTGGATGCTGCGTGGCTTGCCTATATTCCCAGTGCTCAGGAGGGGGAGCCACGGGAGCCACTGAGCCTTCTCCCAGCCTCTTTGCTTGTTTTGTTTTTCCTGACAGGGTTTCTCTGTGTATTCCTGGCTGTTCTGGAACTTGTCCCCGTCGACCAGGCTGGCCTTGAACGCCAAGATCCACCTGCCTCTGCCTCTGCTGGGATTAAAGTTCTGCAGTGAGCCACCACTTCCCGGCTGACCCAGCAGTTCCTTGGCTCCTGTCTCTCCTGTAAACTGCACTGACAAGTGGTGGAAATATGCTCAATCTCTTTTCCCGTGACAAGTTCCCACTCTGGCTGGCTCCAGACAGCAGCCTTCCTTCTCCCAGCTTGACATTCCTGGGGAAATTCCAGTTCTTGGAGACTGTTGTTTCAGTAGTGAGATAGCTGGGTAGCCCAAGGGAGAGACACAAGAGTCTCTTCAGAATGTCTTCATTCTTGCCAGGCCGGTTCCGGAGAGGTGTGAGGAAACTGGTTCCTGGTTCCTGGTAGCACAGCGAAGGTGCCTTAGTTCTTCAGTCTCCGTAATCTCTACTCTTGCATTAGAGTGTGGGGTAGGTCTTTTAGGGGTCCTGCAGTTCATAGCAATGACCACTGACTCTGTCCTGGGAACAGACCTCTTCCTATCATTTGAGTTACAAAAACCTACTTCTCCCACCCATGATCTACTTGCCCATGATGCTTGTGACCCAGTGTGTCTGCAACCCCTTCTCTCCAGAAATGACTATATGAAGTGTGTGTGTGTGTGTGGGGGGGGTGGTATGACTGAAGAGATGGTTAAGAGCACTTGTCGCTCTTCTGGAAGATCTAGTTTCAATTCCCAGCACCCACGTGGTGGCTCTTCTGGCCCCTGTGGGCACCAGGAATGCATGCGGTACACACACACACACACACACACATATATACACACACACATATATACACACATACACACACACATATAAATATTCCTCAGATGAGTTCCTAAAGATTAGGCACCTGGGCAGAAAGTTGCTGAGGCTGAGGCGGGGTGGGGAGGATGATGCTGACCTTGACACCAACTTGCTGATGAGATGGGCAAGACCCGACTTGCCGTGAGCTTCTTCAATTCACTTGCTCTTGCTGGGATCCAGCAAGCCCTCTAATTTCAAGTTCAGCTTTCTTCCAAAAGCTGATGTCTGTTTTCAAAGGGAAATGCGCTGGCTCAGTGGTGTTTATGGGGCAAGAGGCTTGAAGGCAAATCTCTTCTTCCACTTTGCCTAGCGCAGAGAGGCTTAAGGAGAGTACGTCTTTTAATTCACCCACACATCCTCTACCTTGCCCACTGTTTGGGTTCAGTGCGTGTCCTGTGGAGTTGGATTTGCTTGGCTCTGCTGGAATCCTTCCCTGTGTGCAAGGCATCATGGTCCGTTACCTCTCTTAGTACCACGGAGAAGCCACTCTCACCTAAAATTCCCTTTGCTTAGTAGATTGTCCCCGAAATTACTAGAACTTGATGACAAAGCTTTGACCACAATGGGGCCAGAGACTCTCTTTGAAATGTCCTTGCTGTCCTGCCTCTTGTACCTGAAATTTGTCGGGTTTCATTTTAGCTTATGTGTTTGTTTGTTTGCAGTGCTGGGGGCTGAACCCGGGGTTTGCTCATGCTAGGCTGGTGCTGTGCCACTAAGCTGAGCCCCCAGCCTGAGCTTCCTTTCTAGAGGAAGGATCTCAGAACTCAGACTTAAAGCTAGGCTGTTGGACATGCAGCTGCAAGGTGACCCCAGGTCGGTCCTTAGATCTCATCATTTCTCTTCCTTCCCTGTGAAAGGAGGAGACTGATAAGGTGTTTAGCTTATGAAGGTTGGGAGATATGAAGATCGTGGAAGGAGTTTCTGTGACATGGGTAGTTATAGCTATTCTCATGATCTACGTGACAGGGATCCCTCACCAGCTCTGGCTGCCTTCACCTAATCCAGGGCCTGGCCCATGGGCTCTGCTCTTTTGTTAATTGGTCCGTATTTCTCGGGATTCCTAGTCTAACCTTTTCAGGGAGTCTCTCAGTCTTCTTGAGCTGTGCACTTTTTTTTGAGAGCTCCTTGGGGGCTAAGATCTTATCATTTTTCTCCTTGAATTCCTAGGAGAGTTCAAGACACCTGGCAGCTGCTTGAAGCTGTTTTTGTGGGTGCTGTTTGTTTCTTGTGATAGGAAGAGGAATGAACAAAAATTTCCAAGAGTTTTCTCCTCAACCTTTTTTTTTCTTCTAGGACATGTGTTGAGAAGCAGGGTTGAATGGTTATTTCAGGTGCCTCTGTATCAAGAGTCCCCCAGCGAGCAGAGGAGATGGGGGTGGGGTGAGGGGGAATTCCATGGCACACAGGATTGGTAGACTCTAAGGAAAAGGGAGATTGGCATGGTAGACAGCGAAGTTGGCTCAGGATCTGACTTGCCAGTCAGGCAGACCTGGTTTTGAATCTGACTGGGTCATTAGTTATGTTACCATGGTTACACTACTTGATCTCCAAGTTTTCTACTTTGGCCAGCTTCTGCTCACCTTCCAGTTAGCAACTGTATTAGACTCTCTGTCCTGAAGACATTTGTCTGTCCCCTATCCCCTTCTTTCATTCGAGAACAGTAACCCTTCCTGCCCATGATATAAATAGAACAAATAGAATAGAAACCATCAAATGAGAACTTCTTAATTAGGAAGACACCTCCCCTCACACACATACACGTGAGTGCATGTAGTTTTTGATTTTTTTTGCCCGACTTCCTTCCTTCCTTCCTTCCTTCCTTCCTTCCTTCCTTCCTTCCTTCCTTCCTTCTTTCTCTCCCCCCCTTAGCCCCCGAGACAGGATTTCTCTGTGTAACAGCCCTGGTCATCCAGAAACTCATTTTGTAGGCCAGACTGGCCTCAAACTCACAAAGATTCACCTTCCTCTGCCTCCCAAGGGTGGGATTAAAGGCGTCTGTCACTACCTCCAGGCTTTCTTGCTTTCTAAGTTCTCCATATTCACAGCCATGCTGAGGTCTTCTTTCTTCTGCGTTGACCATCTAAATTACTTTCTGCTCTGTGACTGGCAGTCATCACAGTGGGATCACGGGTATAAACCAGGGGCAGCCTAAGAGACCGGATCAGTCTGTACTGCTTTCTTTCGGTGAGAGGGTTACTCTTTCTCTTGCTGCTGGATTATCCCCGTGAGCATTTGGACAAGCTAAATCTCAGCCTTCCCCTCCCATCCTCTCCCCTCCTCCCCTCCCCTGCTCCCTTCTTTCTGTCTATCCCCAGCCATCTTCCTATCCCCAGTTTCCTGAGTTCTTACAGGTGTGTGTCACCACCTACCTTAAGGTCTTTCAGTCTCAAAATTAACAAATAAACCCAAAACTAGGAGGCTTTTCTAGCCCACGCCCCCTTCCAGCTACCTCCTTCTCTGAGCTACTCAGTGAGACTGGTCCTTTGAACCAAAATGTATCTCCTTAGCAATCAGTCCCTCCCAGTCTGCCTGCAGATGGCCTGGACAGCCTGACTTTCTAATGAAATGGCTTCTCACTAGCTCACCAGCTTCAATATCTACTGAACACCCTCTGTACCATAGTAATCGCTAGTCTACAACGGGGAGGTTAAATTTTGGAAGTTTTCACACATGAAAGAGAAAAGGGGGGCTTTACAGGCAGAAAGTGGCCCAGGGACCTAGAAAAGGGAAAGGAAAGAAAGGCCTGTCCGGCTCAAAGGTACTTTCCTTCTGGGGCAGGGACGAAGATGTCCTGGTGTGTGACTCAGGCCAATCACATTTCTTCTAATTGGTTTTGATGACTCCTGGCTGTTTGCAGTGGTTTAAACTGGCCCCTTGCAGACCTAAAGCTGGCTAAATAGCTGCTTTAGTGCGTGTTCCACTCTGGCCTGGTCTAGTCTGCTGGTCTACCGGGCCTGGTGGAGGAGACTAGTCCAAGCAATGGCCTCCTGTAAGCTTGGTTTGACCATCTCTGCCCGGCTGTCCCTCGAGAACATCAGATTATTTGTTTCAGAAGGCAGCTACCTTGTGCCTGTGCTGGAAACTGAGGGATCGGCCTCAGCATTTGCTCTCCAAGGTGCTCTTCTGGACTCACGACTAATCGTACCCATCACTTCCACCCTGGCTCCCTAGTATCTTGCAGTTTCTTAGCTTCCTTGGTTCAGGCGGAATCATCCCCCGCATGCTGGAAACAGCCTCTTGCCATGCTTACCTTTTCCTGATCCTTTCTCCAGCCACAGCCAAGTGATCTTTCTACTGCACAAATCTGACTCCTTAGACATTTTCTGTGCATCCCACTGCCCTTGGATAAAGTGCAGGTTCCTGAACCTTACCAGAGGCCTTTAGAATCAACTCCTGATTAGATTTCCATCCACTCGTTTTATCTCCTTTCTTCCACCCATATTCAACCGCATTCAACTGCTGCCCTTCTCCCCCAGCTCTGTAACTATTCTCTTTCCTACCTGGGATCACTTCTCAAATACCCACTTCCTCTGCTTACCTTGTGCACGTCTTCAGAACGGGACACATGGCAACTGACTGATTTGTGATATTATGTGTTAAGTTCTTAGTGATGAGCCTTCTTTGGTCTTTACTCCACGGGGAGCCTTTATTTCTCTCACTTGATAAAACACAGAGACCCAGGTAGCAGCCAGAGCCATTGCTGTATACAAGTGTTTGGTTGTTTTCTCCCTGCCTTGTAACTGCCTTGCCTGCTTGTTTTCCTTCCTTCCTTTTTCTTCTTCTCTTTCTGGTAGTGAGACAGGTAGTAAAAAATCTATAGCATGGCTCAGCAGGTAAAAGTGCTTGTCACCAAGTCTGATGACCTGGGACCCACAAGATAGGCAGAGACTCCTGAGAGTTGTCCTCTGACCCCCACATAAGCATCACGACATGTGTATGCCCTCACCCTCATAGACCCCAAATAAGTAAACAGATAGAAACAACAACAGGAACTATCAATAGCATGGTATTTAAATGGTAGTAAACAGTACATTGCTTGGCAACCATGGTCATCTGGACTCTTGGACCTTTCCTGGGCTGCCTCACATTCCCAGAAGGAATCTCTGGAAGCACTGGACACTCACTGTGCACTTTCTTCTCCCCACAGCTCCTGGTGGCCTCAGTCTACTCAAGGATTTGATCATTCATGGTGCGCCTCCCCGACAATTCTTGTTCCTGTGTGCCAGGCTTGTAGGGGTCAGTTCATGCGCGTGGAAGCCAGAGGTCAGCACTGGGTGCTCCCTCAGATACTCCCTGTCTTTGTTGTTTTTAGATAGGACTCTCACTAAGCTTGGAGTTCACAACCGAGTCAGGCTGACCAGCCAGCGAACTCCAGGGATATGACTGTTTCTGCCTAGAGCACAGTCACAGGCAAACTTTACAGGACCTCAGTTTGTATACAGGTACTGAGAACTGAAACTCAGGTCTTCCTTTTGGCATGGCAGCTTCTCACCAACTGAACCAGCCCTCTAGATCTCTGTGTGAGTTCTTTTTTTTTTTTTTTTTTTTTGAGGACCTACCTGTCTGCGTTCCATAGTGACACAGAGCATCAGAGATGGACAAGGATTCCAATGTCTTCGCTTTCTGTTAAAAGTACTTTTTTTTGTTTTTAAAATAATAGCCATCTATTATTTGGCCTTTAACTGAGGCTTTGGTTTGCATTTTTCTGATTATTTCCTACACTTACTAGCTATTTTATATTTTATTAGGAGAAATGTCTATTCGAGTCCTATGACCATTTTAAAGTCACTTTTGTTGTGAATTATATTTTCTTATATTTTGGATAAACTTTCTTTGCAGTTTGTAACTTATTTAGCATGGCTTGTACCTATTCTCATGGCCTTTTAGTCACGGCTTAAGATAAAGGCAAAGTCTTTTTCTTTCCTTTCTTTGTTTTGAACAGGATCTCACTGTGTAGCTCTTGTTGGCCTGGAACTAACTCGCTCTGTAGACCAGGCTGGCCTCAGACTCACAAAGATCTTCCTGGTTCTGCTCCTTAAATGCTGGGATCAAAGACTAAGGCAGTCTTCTGCGAGGTCCATAAGGCCCCGTGTGGTCTGCTCTTCCTTTGTTCTTTGTCCGGATTTCCTAGCCACTGCTCTTCTCTGCCACAGCCACAGTGACCTCCTTATTTTTCGTCAAAACTCTACGCATCCTCCGATTTCAGGACTTCCGAGCTTATGAGCTCCTCTTCCCGGAATACTTCCTCCTCATTTTATCCAGACGTTTCTCACGTGTCCTTATGTTTGATGGGCCTTTCATGACCATCCCAGCCTCCTTTGTCTGCTGCTGTGTTCATTGCACCAAGAATGCCTGGCCTGTCATAGTGGTCAGAAAGCGATTGTTGAATGAATGAATGAATGAATGAATGAATGGTTATAAGCTTGTAGTTCACCCCCATGTCGACCCAACTCTAGATCTCATGACTTCTAGCCCACTATCCAGGGTGCTTCCTCCACTGGGGAGCCTCTGCTGCCCGAGGACTTCTATTCTCTCATCACAGCTCACTAGGTTCATTGTGTTGACGTCACCCATTTATTTGACTAAGTTTTCAACTCAAGGACAAACCAAACTTCTCTTTCAATACCAAGCACAGTGCCTGGTGATAGACAACAGTGGGAACTTGAATGAATAAATCTCCTGAAGCCTCTGCTTTCTCATCTGTAAAACGTAGAGGACCTGCTCGCCTCACAGTTGAGGGCATAAGACCCAATGTTTAAAAATGCTTCCTGCAGTGCTAGCTGCATAGTAAGTGCTTTCTAACTGGTAGTTTTCGACCATGAGTGGTAATTTTTTTTTGCTAAAAAACGACCAGCATTCTAATTAGAATGATGTAAGATAATGAACCTCAAACATTTACTTAATGCTAAAAAAATGTAGTGAATGAAGGAGATTGCCCATCAATATTTTACTGTGGAAAAACTTTCAGACAAGCACAGAAGACAGAATTTTCCAGTGGCCAGCTGCTCATCCCACCTAGGCTCTCCGAACAACATTCTGTTGTGCTTGCTACCACAAATCGATTACCCATCTAGCTTGGGCTCTTTTTTTTTTGATGTATTTTGAACACTTAATTCACAGAAATAAACATGCCTTCCCCTTGATAGTTCAGAATGAATGAGAACTCGGTGTTTGTTTATAATCCTCTCTCTTTTTCTTGGTCCTCCTCCTATTTATTATAACACGCATACACACGTGCACACATAAATGAATGTGAGTAAAGATTTAAACTTATAACCATATATCAAGACCTGCTAAGGGAATATGTATGATAGGATTAAGAAATAAGAGTCAGAGGGGCGGCCAGGCATTGGTGGCGCACGCCTTTAATCCCAGCACTTGGAAGGCAGAGGCAGCTGGATCTCTGTGAGTTCGAGGCCAGCTTGGTCTACAGAGTTCCAGGACAGCTAGGGCTACACAGAAAAACCCTGTCTCAAAGAACAAATGCAAAACAAAAGTAGAAGTGGCTGGGGAGATGGCTTAGTAGTTAAGAGCACATGCTGCCCTTCCTGAGGGCCTGAGTTCAGTTTCTAGCACCCACAGCAGGTGGATATAATCCTGATATAATCCTTTTTTAAAAACAGGGTCTTACTATATAACCTTAGCTGTCCTGGAACTCACTGTGTAGACCAGTTCGAGATCATCTGCCTCTTCCTTCTGAATGCTGGAACTAACCATGTGTCTTTCAGAGACCATCTACTTATTCCTTCTGAATGCTGGAACTAAAGGTGTGTGCCACCATGCCCAGCTATAATCTGTTTTTGAATGTTAGTAAACCTTATTACTTTCATCCAATTGGGTGTTTTTTTAAAGAGTTTCGACAAGGGTATAATGCTATGTAGCCGTCTTGGGTTTGATGAGAAGCACTCCCCTGCCCCATGGAGGCATATGTGTTGTAGGTGTAGCTCCTACCTGGTGGTACCATGAGAGATAACTGGTTCACAGAGCTTCTGGCCTACTTGGTGGATTAACCCACAGATGTATTAATAACTGGATACTAGTGTTGGGAGGTGGTAGAAAACAGGAGGTAGAATTTAGAGGAAAGGGGGCTAGCTCTGGGAGAGCAGACAGCTTACTGGGCTATGAGGTGACCAGCTTTCCATGCCTCTTCACTGCCTGTTACCAGCCTGAACGCAACGGACCTAGATGACCGTGGATTGAAACTTCTTAAATTGCGAGCCCAATAAAACCCTCTTTTGTTTCCTCGGTTAAAAAAATATTTCTTAATTAATTAGTTAATCAATTAATGTGTTTGTGCATGTGGAAGTTAGAGGACAACTTTTGGGAGTCAGTTCCTATTGTCAGTCTCTTTGGAGGCGAGGTCTTTCTTTCTACACTCTATAGCATACCCCAGACTACCTGGGAACTTCTGGCCCTGTCTCTGCTTTCGACCTCACCGCAGGCTTGCTGGGATTACAGATTTGCTTCTTATGTGGGCTCTGGGGCTCGAACTTAGATCTTCTGGATTGTGTGGCAAGTGCTTTTACTGGCTGAGCCATCTGCCTGGCTCTCCTCAGATGTTCTCTACAAGTGATAAAAAGTGACCAGTATAGTAAATCAAATGCTTATCAAAATGTAGAAGACTAATATCATTCCAGAAAGTTCTCAAACCTCCCCTGCCTCTCTAATCTGCCCAATCCTCCGTGAACAAACATTTAACCCATGATTTTCCCCACCAAAAACGTTCTTTTCATTTTCTTCTTCTGTGCCTTGAACTTCCTATGTACCCAGGTTGGCCTTGACCTCTCTATAGTCCAAGCAGACCACCAACCTGTAATCCTCCGCCCTGTTTTCCACGTGCTGGTATTACAGGCCTCTTACCTCCAACTCTGGATGAAACTCCAATTTTATTCAAGATTCGAGAACCTATTCTATAACCTCATATAAATGGAATCAAAGAGTTACACACTTTGATTTGTATTTTGCTAATTTTGCTAAGCATATTTTTGAGGTTCACCCAAATGGTATCATCAGTCTGTCTGTTTTTAATTGCTGAATACTATTTATTGTAAGGATATTTGATAAACATATTCATCTATCTTGTGTTGACGGTCCCCTGGGTGTTTCTGGTTAGGGTTATCAATGAACAAAGCTGCTATTAATATTTTCTGGGAGATCTCCTTCTGGTATAAGATTCCATTTCTCTTGGGTAAATACCTTGGGGTAGAATTGCTAGAGCGGTTGTAGGTTTATACAAGACAGTGTTAGGTGTTTCCCCAAAGAGGCCATGTGGAATAGATTCTCAGCATCTGACCTAAGTAAGTAAAGCCGCCTTCCATTGGAACAATTGAGAGAGCCAAGTTCACACTCCTTGGATGACCAGTAAGGATGCTGCCCAAGGCAGTCTAGCTTCTCACCTGGTCTTCCGCTCCTACCTGCAGTCAAGATTTGAGAGGTGGTGGCCCCCGACCCCTGCAGCTGCCACATCCCATCCATCTGTTCCTTCTTTTTCTTTCCAGAATTCTACCTGTTTTTTTAAGGACCAAATTCAAAAGTCACAAATGTAATTGATTACCAAGCCGCTCCGCCAAATACTCTTTAGATGGTCCAGACTCAAGTGCCTTATTCTACTTTGCATATCTAGAACAGCACATGAGAAGCGTTTTAAGACCCTCTCCTCCCTTTCCCCCTTCCTTTGCCCTCCCTCTCTATGTTAGTCAGGATCTCCCACAGTCTAGGCGCTCTTCAAATGCTTAGCCCCAAACAGACAGCTGAGACTGACTTTGGCCTGCTCCTCCTGCCCCCACCTCCTGAGAGCTGGGGTCACAGCAGCGCTGAGGATGGAGCCCAGGGCCTCCTGCACGCTAGGCAAGCCCTCTACCAATCCAACTGCATCCCTAGCCCATAGGAAGGAAGCATTTCATACATTTTCCCCTTAGTAGGACCCTGACAGAAACTTTTGAGTAAACAAATGCTTTGTTCGAACAACCCTAAAAGCTAAATTATACGTTCTTCCTTGCTTCGCAGTATGCTGGCTTGATCTAATGTTGAAAATAGCAGGTGATTTTGCTTGTGCTTCTCTTTTCTCTTTGCCTAGGGATACTGGAAACTATGTTTTACGGACAGTCAGTGCAGGCCATGTCTATGTCTCCCGCGCCACCACTGAGTTTCCTGCCTGCAGAGGTCTGAATATCCTCCAGACAGTTGGGACAGGTGGCGCCTTGAACTCCGAGGTCATGGTACACATTGAACGGCAATCAAGGCTCTTCTCTGGAAAAGTTTAAAGGAAAACCAGAGTCGTTGAACATTTCCTTGTAATCCTCAAAATTTCCTTCGTTCTTTTTTTGTTTGTTTGTTTGTTTCATTTGCCAAGGCACACGTATTCCTTATGCCTCCAGTTTTGACTGAAGCCCTGCACGCTGTCATTTTTATGTCTTTTTTTCCTTCCTCAGGTTCAGCTCTCGGCCTCCTTCCTCACCCCGGGCGGGGAACAGAGAGAGACTGGAAGCCTCCCTCTCCTGTTGACTGGAAGGAACTGGCATTGGCAAATACAACGCCAAGAACTTGACCTGAACTGAGGAATGGGATCCGGGCAGCTGTGCCCCTCAGAGCAGGGCTGACTGCCAGCTCTAGGGGCATCTGGTGACTGGGGAGGGATTCCTCTGGGCGGACAACAGGCTCTCTATTCTGCTCAGTGGCTCCTGCCCTGGTTCCTCACCTGCTGAGTTTAGTGTCCTTTAGTCCTTCAGCGAACTCCACCCTCTCACTGAATTTTGCAATCTGCTGTCAGTTTAACCTCCCCGTACCCCTCTCTCTCCTTCTGGAACTGCAGTACCTAGCCAAGCTGAAGCTGACCAAGATGAAGTTTCCTTTAACTTTTTTCGCAGCCGCGTTCTCAGAGCCGACTTTTTCTGACCTACCTACGGGAAAGGCTGCATTTTACCACCGTGTAAATGCCTCTTCTGCAGCCCAGAGTTTTACGTTTGGGCTGCTTAGAAAGACCTAGAGGCTTGTGAAAGAGCCAGACACTCTTCCAGAAAACACTCACCTCAGTATTGCAGGCTTGCAGCTGACCTCCCTGGGGGGCAGCCCCTGGGCTCCCCGGTTTAATGAGTAGGTTTGTCCACCCATTCTTGCCCCACCTCTCTCCCATGCTTTTCTCTTTTCTTCAGTTCTATAATTTACCTCTCTTCGGGTGGAATTTTGTTTCTTTTGTTTTATCACCCACTCGACAGGTCTTGTGCATGAGCTTTGTCCTCCAGCTGCCTGTACCCCTAGCCTGATGTTTCTTTATTTATTTATTTATTTATTTATTTACCCAACTTGGCCCTTGCTTCCCTTCCTAGCACCCTTTGTTCCAGGGCTCAGCCAGAAGACCGTGAGTCACTAAAAAGTTTCTAGATAGCTAATCCAAGGATAAGGGCAACTTGAGTGTGTTCAGGGTCCTATGCCCCGTCTGGCCTACTTTTTTTTTTTTTTAAAAAAAATTAATTACATTTTAACTAGTCTCTGTGTGTGTGTGTGCGCGTGTGTGCGTGTGCACATGCGTACCACAGCATACATGTGGAGGAGGTCGGAGGACAGCTTTCAGGTATTGATTTTCTCCTTCCACCACGTGGGTTCCAGAGACAGGACTCAGGAGGCCAGGCTTGTTGGCTTGGTGGCGCCAAGACTTAAGAGAGTGGTCTCTGCCCACTTTGTGGCTGCGTGTCTTTGGTCTCCTGTTTTTGTCTGCTTGCTACTGTGTTGTTAATCTGTAACTCTTACGCGATGAAGCCTTTATCTCAACATTTGAGACTTCTCACATTGGTGGCTGTCCTAAAAATGGCAGTCAAAACCCAGGGCACAGGGAAAGTTCTCCTTCCAAATGACTAATTCCTTGAGAGTTTACTGACTAAATTACCCATGTCCGCCTTAGTTTTGTGGTCAGAGAACACGTACAAGTCAGAAAGACTCCCATAGGCTGTGGGTGTAGCTCAAGGCCAGAGCACTTGCCTAGTAAGTGCAAGGTCATGGGTTTAATCCCAAGTCTTGCCAAAGCTGGGTGATGATATCACAAGTTCAAGGCCCAGCCTGGGCTACAACATGAGACTGCTTCAAACTGTAAAATAAAACTCAAAAAGATTCCGGGCAATTGCTTACCTCCCGGGCTGTTACACTCTTCACTCTAAAGCAGTAGCCCTTCCCCGAGGGTTGTGGAGATGGAAGGATAGCCAGGAAAGTACTTTGCAAACTGTGCTGGGGTGGGGGAAAGAGCTGGGGATCTGGCCCCGAGATTGGTTTGGTTCTCTCTGCCGAGTCTCAGGAAGAACGGCCTGCTGCCTCGGGGTGGGACTGGGTTCCCAGAGGGGCCTAAGGAACTCCCATTCTTTCTGGGGGTTATAGGGCACCCCAAGGACTGGAATCACAGCAAGCTGCTTTCAGCGTTCACTTCCAAGGCAAGACTATATAACCTATTTTAAAAGGGTGCATGTGGCTAAACCCAGAGTAGCCAGGGACATTTCAAACTGGCACCACCTCTTCTGGCTGCTTCTGAGGCCATCCGGAGGCCAGGCCGGAAAAGTAAAGAGAGGACCTCAGAGTCTGAGACCTTTGCGCAGAGGGCTGGAGTGTTGAGGAGGGCGGGAAGAGAGAACAGGGAGGAGGAGGGAGCTGGGTGCGGAGGCCACACCTTTCATTCCTGCGCTGCTGCACCGGCTGGGGCGGGGTGAGTCACTGGCTGGATCTGCTGTTCCCCCTCCCATAGTGAGGACTCGGACCTCTCTGGGGAAAAACTGCGGTGCCTGCTCGTTCTGTCCTTGGCAGGGTGCTGGGAGTCCTGGGTCTGCCGGGTCTGGCCTCTGGGGCCACGACTGGCTTTCCCTGATGTATGGTAAGAGCCCTGCGCGTGTGCTTCCACTTCTCCTGGGCTTACACCTCACAGGTAAGAACTGGCGGGCTTCTAAAAGTTTGTACCTTCACCACCCATTCTATGTAAAGACAGAATTCGTGGCTCGAAGAAGTCTTAAGGGCTATGTTGGGAGCTCGAGACCCGGCTGCAGTTCGTTCTAGTCCAGACTTCACGGAAACTTCAGTTCGGTGGGTTGCTTTGGGGCAGTGCTTTGGGCAAACAGGTTTAGGTGTGTTTGGCCGCTCGCTCGTGATTCAGGCACAGACAGGGCTTTCTGATCTCAGGTTACACACCATCTTTGTGTGGCTGCTCTCAGCCTCGGGCTGCTGCCTCGATTTGGCCCATGGATTTCCGTGGAAAGGATTTTGTCTGCTGACTCCCTGCAGCACCGTGGAGCAAACCTAGGAAGGGAGAACCCCGCTGTGGTTTTGAAGCTGCCCCAATGCACACACTGAACTTGTAAATACGCCACGTGGTGTAAGGTTCCAGGGGTGCAGGCCAGCACAGCTGCTGGGGTGGATTAACCTGCAGGCTAGTAGCAATCCCAAGTCTACATGCCGGAAAACGTACCTGCTTAGAGACTTTATTATTTTTTTTACGTATATTTTATTGCTTGATCTTAGTACTCCATGTCTGACCAACGTTTGGAATTTTGTTTCTGATTTCCATCTTATTGGCTGAAGTTTGTAGTTTCTGGCTATAGCTCCAAAGTTGGTACCGTGGCTGTGAAGAAGTGAGAACACCAGGTAGTTTGTTGGGCAGAACTTTTAATTGGCCCTCGGGATGGGAGGGTCAAGGTGGTGTGTACGTAGGAGTGTTGCAGACTTCAGGCGAAGTGAATTTGGAGGCTGACTTATTTGGAAAGTGTCAGTGCTCACCAGTATGGCGCTCTGATTGCTGTTAACCCCTTTCCTTCCCTTCCTTGCAGCTCTTTGTCCTACAATAGCGGTGGAAATTTACACCTCTGGGGCCCTGGAGGCAGTCAATGGAACAGACATTCGGTTAAAATGCACTTTCTCCAGCTTTGCCCCTGTGGGTGATGCCCTGACAGTGACGTGGAACTTCCGGCCTCGAGATGGGGGGCGTGAGCAGTTTGTAAGTGGATTCTTGTCACCTTCCAGCAGACCCTTGACTAGGATGTATTCAGGCAACAATTCTCAACTTCGGGGTCAAACGACCCTTTCACAGGGATCGTCTGAGACCATCGAAAAACAGATATTTACATTATGATTCGTAACAGTACCAAAATAATAGTTACAAAGTAGCAATGAAATAATTTTATGGTGGGGGGGGTCACCACAATATGAGAAACTGTATTAAAGGGTCACAGCATTAGGAAGGTTGAGAACCATCATATTAAGGTCTTTTTTCTTGCCTTTCTGTGTTGACCAGATGCGCAGGGTTAAGTTGGGAACCAGTTCTTGGGATAGAGAGTGCTAGATCTGAGAAAAGGGAAGCAAGAGAGTGTTCTGAGGAGCTAGCTAGACCTTTAGTCAGATTTGCTGAGGCTTCTCTTCCACCCCCACCGTCTCAGCCTCCTGCCCCATATAGAGTGGGAGAGATCCTCCTTTCTCCTCTTTAGGTATTCTACTACCACGTGGATCCCTTCAGACCCATGAGTGGACGGTTTAAGGACCGGGTGGTCTGGGATGGGAACCCTGAGCGCTACGATGTCTCCATCATCCTCTGGAACCTGCAATTCGATGACAATGGGACGTATACCTGCCAGGTGAAGAACCCACCTGACGTTGATGGTCTGGTAGGGTCCATCCGGCTCAGCGTGGTGCATACTGGTAGGTTTTGGGAAGTGAGAGCTGACAAAAAAAGGGGGAGGGGATCTTTTGTGATGTTGTTGGAAGGGAGGGAGGGCCTAGGGCTTCAGGGCTGGGAACTTCAGAGACTGAGGAGTCCTGGGTGAAAAAAAAAATAAAGGCTTTGTTTGCTGCTGGAAAGAAACAAAGTAAGGCAAAGAGATCTGAGGAATCTGTGAAAAGAATGGCCTTGAGTTCATGAAAGGGACAGGAAGCCACTCTGATAAAAAGACTCACAATGGGTCAGTTCATTCTCTCGCTTATTCCAGATGCGTACTGAGTACCTGGTGTGCCGGGCACAATCTAAAGTGCTTGGCACACACTATCTCATTTAATCCGGGTACACTATCAATCACAGTTGCCAGTGTTTACTCAGTGCCCCGGCTGTCAGGAGTTTACGCGATACATTTATCCTTTTAAAATTATTATTTTATGTGCGTGGGTGGTTTGCTTGCATATATGTCTGTGCACTGCCTCAGTGCCTGCTGCACATGGAGGCCAGAAGAGGGTGTTAGACCCCCCCGGAACTGGAGTTACAGAGAGTTGTGAGCCACCATGTGAGTGCTGGGAATCGAACCCAGGTCCTTTGAAAAAGAAGCCAGTGCTCTTAACTGCTGAGCCTTCTCTCCAGATTTACCTTATTTGTTCTTTACACATCTCATGAGTCTGTTGTATATTTAGTGTCTCCCATTTTACTAACAAGGAACCAGGGCTCACCAAGTGTAAGTCATTTCCCCAAATTCATATAGTTAGTAAATGCAGTCACTTGAGACTCAAACCCAGCCATCTCAGACTCTCAGACTGCTCTCTAACTAGTAGATTGGGTTACCTGCACTATAGGGACAACCTGGAAGATGATGCCAGGTGACAAAGAACACAGTACTCCTGAGCTGAGGAACTGGGGTGGAGTCCTGGCTACTTGTGTATGAGTTATACACAAATTTTACTTTTGTCATGTGTAAAGTGAGAATAAGAAGAGATTTTGGTGAGGACAAAATGATGCAGTAAATTGGTGAGAGTCTTCCAAACTCTGAACTGTCCTGAAAATTTTAATAGCCACATGTACCCAGCACTTATGGGCAGACACAATTTATAGGAATTGTTTCATTTTCTATAAGCACTCAAGAAATGGATATTGTCATGTCTTAACATAAGAGGAAACTGAGATTCAATAAAAATAAATAAATAACCCAGGTCACACAGTTAATAAGATAGAGCTAGCTCTCGTGTGTATGTATGTGTTTGAGATGAAATTTTGCTATTTGGGAAAAGATCTCTCTATATATCCCAGGCTGGCCTTAAACTTGAGATCCCCTTGCCTTAGCTTCTTAAGAGTTAAGGTAGTGTGTGCTCTTAACTAACACACTGCACTGTTTAAAACATCTCAGTGTGTCAGGTGGTGTGACTAGCTCCCATCACTATTACCTTGATCAGTTTAAAGCCAGCTTTCTAGGCTCTACCAAGAGACAGCTGTATGGTCACGCTCATCATTTGAGTACTAAAGTCATGTGATATATTCAGACCTCAGTTGTTTGTGTTTTTTTCTTTTCTGATAGGTGAAGCAAAAAACCCACAACCACAAAAACCAACCAATCAACCAAACAAAACCAGCAGAAAGTAACAGCGAAAACAACACAAAAGCCAGCAGTGGTTTAACATAGCAGGATCACTGTTTTATTGAGAGCCTACAGAAAGTCGTGGCTCTGTTCCCCTATTTTTAAGAAATGGAGGAACACTTAGACTCCCCATTCTCTATGGGTATTGGTATTTTGCAAGTTTATCTTTGCACCACTTGTGTGCCTGGTGCCTGCAGAGGCCAGAAGAAGGCACTGGATCTCCTGGAACTTCTTTATCTTTCCTGATGGATTCTAGGTTGGGAGTTCCTGGCGTAGACATTCTCTCCTGGTTCTATGAGCTTATTGCTTTACTTGCCTGTCTTCCTGGACGGAAACACACACACACACACACACACACACACACACACACACGGTACAGTGCCGGGAATAATGCTTGTGACCTTTCTTTTCCATCATAACAACAGGAACACAGTAGGCGCTTTGAAGCCTGACTGGACAAAGTGGGGATTAGGCTATGCAGGACTGAGCTGGACATCGTTCTACCTAGATTAGCAGTCACTTGGAATTGCTGGGCAGTTTAACTGACTCAGTGGTTCTCAGCATTTGGGTGTCATCACATCGCCTGGAAGACATGTCCAAACGCAGATGGCTGGATTTAGCCCCTAGTGCTTCTAGTCCAGCATGTTTGGGGTGGGGCCTGAGAATTTCACTTCAAAGCTCTCCAGCGGTGATGTCACTGCTTCTAAGAGCCACACTGGAAAAGCTCTGAGATAGTCTGAGTAGGTTTCCCACTGCTGCCAAAGGGTACAGTGGGAGGAAGGGAAGAGTCTCGTTAATGTTGAGATACATTGTCGTTGCCTTTAGATTTCCCCTACCTAACAGCCCTGCCTTCTCTTTTTCTCCTCACAGTGCCGTTCTCTGAGATCTTCTTCCTGGCTGTGGCCATTGGCTCTGCCTGTGCCGTGATGATCATAATAGTGATTGTGGTGGTCCTCTTCCAGCACTTCCGGAAAAAGCGATGGGCGAAAAGGGCTGATAAAGATGAGGGGATAAAATCGTAAGGCTGAGTGAGCACTGGCGGGAATGCCTGCTCATCCTCTTGGGGTGGCTCTTGGGCTTTTTCAGGGGGGCCAAATAACTGTTGAACAGTTGTTTTTATTTCTGACCAGCTGTGTGAGAGGCTCCATTTCACAGGACCGATAAATTAGGACATGGGTAGTAACTTTACAAAAGACTTCTTAATGGGACCTAAGAGGTAGCTAAGAGCTTAGATGCTCTTGCAGAGGGCCTGAGTTCGGTTCCCAGGACCCATGTCTGGTGGTTTGCAGCAGCTTGGGACCCCAGCTCCAGGGGGATGCAATGCCTCTGACCTCTGTGACTTATGTGCACAAACCTGCATCAGATAGACACATATGCATACATAACAACAAAATAAATCTTTAAACAGCAACAATAACAAAATCCAAAGGGTTTCTTAATTTTACAAGAGATCTCACCAAAGCATTTTGCTCTTGTGTGGGATTTTGGAGGCATGAGGAATGCACAAGTGATGAGGCCTTAAGGAAGCCCTCTGTGGAGGGAGGCACACTTGTAAGCGCAGCAGGGCGAGGCACTCAGCAGTCACTGAACCAATCAGTGCTGCATGTTTGCTCTGCTCAGTGTGACAGTAAGTGCTCAGTAAACATTTGGAAATTGAGATAAAATTTATAAGCTATGAAATTCGCCCTTGGGACAGTGAGCTGGCTCAGCAGTTAAGAAAGCTGCCTGCTCTCGCAGAGGACCTGGGTTTCGTTCACAGCATCCATACAATGGCTCACAGCTGCCTGTACCCCCAGATCCAGGAGATCTGATACTCTCTTCTGGCTTCTGTGGGCTCTGCACTTACATATTCACAGACAAAACATTCGAATAAAATAAAAATAAACAAACCTTTGAAAGAAAATGCACCCTTTTAAATATACACATAACTGTGCGCTAATCACCAATTCTAGAACCTTTTAAGCATTTGCCCAGAAGGAACCCCGTGTCTTCTAGCCAATCATTCCCTCCCACCAGTGCAACAGCTACTCACCTGCTTTCTGTCTGGGGGGTGTGTTGGTCTTGAGCGTGTAATGTAAGTAGAGCCATAAAATACCGGACCTTTTGTATCTACTTTTTCATGCAGGACGTTTTCAAAAGCTGCCAATGGTGTAAAATATTTACTACTTCATACTTTCTTTGTGTGTGCATGTGGGTGCCCATGTGGAGGTAGAGGTACACACTGGGGGGGGGTGTCTTCCTCTGTTGCTGTCTCTGATCTTTGAGACTTGGTCTCTCACTGAGCTTGGTGCTCGCTGATTGGCTAGACTGATCCTTCTGTCTCCACCTAAGGCTAAGGGTTCACTACCACACCTGAGGCTTTTACAGGGCACAGGGAGATCTGCACTTAGATCCTTGCAGCAGCAGTTTACCCAGTCATCTGGCTCCCGATCCTACTCCATTCTTTTTAACAGCTGCATGATATTCCACTATAATGGACACACCACATATTGTTTGTCTATTCAGCGGATGGACATACAGTTGTTATTTTTTTCTCCTTTTTTGGCTATCATAACTAATATCAATCACTATGAACATACTCTACACAAATCTTTGTGTACACTTACTTTCAATTCTCTCAATAATGAAGAGACATTGCCAAGTGGTTGGTAACAATTGAATGTTTGGAGGAATTGACAAACTGTTTTCCCGAAACAGTCAATACATTCCTATCAGCAATATTTCTCCATAGTCTCTCCAGCATTCACTCTTAATTACTGCCCTCTAGTGGACACGGAGTGTTATCGCAGTGAGCTTTTGGCATCTTAGTACGAAAGATCCTCATCCTCCTCCCACGTGTTTAGTGGCCTTTTATAGAGCATCTCTGGAAATGTATCTGTTCAGATAGTCTGCCCATCCTAGAATAGAGGTGGATGTCTTCTTATCGTTAAGCTGTAAGGACACCTGACCCCTTTCAGTTACATTACCTGCAATTAAGACACAAAAGTTTTCAGTTTTGATGAAGTTCATTTCTTCTAAGAACATATTCTCAGTTACATTCTTTTTTAAAAGATTTATTTATTATTATACATATAATGTTCTGCCTGTATGCGTGTATGCCCACGGGTCAGAAGAGGGCACCAGATATCACTACAGATGGTTGTGAGCCACCATGTGGCTGCTGGGAATTGAACTCAGGACCTTTGGAAGAGCAGGCAGCACTATTAATCGCTGAGCTACCTTGCCAGCTTCCCTCAGTTACATCCTTACATTTATATATTTGGTGTATGTTGAGTAAAGTTTTGTATAGAATTAAGAGTTTCAATTCATTTTTTTTGCACATGGATTTATAAGTACCCTAGAACCATTTGTTTATTTTTAATTAGTAAATATTCACTGAAATTTGTGTAATTGACCATGAAGCCCCTTAGGAACCTCTCAGATTCTGAAGTGTCTGAGTTCGGACTCGTAGGTCACGTGGGGCGTAGGTATAACCACTCACACGACACTGGCAGTTCAGCTACCGCTAGAATAGACTTCCAGGTGTTCGTACTTTTTCCTAAAGCATGGGGGCGGGGCCGGGTACCTTACCTGATGCTGCTCTGGGACCTGCCGCCTTTGCTTCTTGCCTTGCTCATCTGACATTTGGCTTCTGTTCCTTTGTTACAGAAAAGAAGAGGAAAAACTCAAACCAGAGACTCACAAGGTCTCCATTTATTTGGAAGATACAGACTAATGCTGTGAGGTAAGATCCCGTGTGGGTGATTTCTGTCTTCAGCTTGTCTGGCTGTTTAGTGCAATGACATTCCTGTTCAGAAGCAGAGGTCAGGCAGATTAGTTTCTTATTAGCTTCGTAGATGACTTCATAGAGACCTGTGCATATGATTAAGAAACCAGACTATTTCCTTTAAAGCTGAGAGAATTCTACTTTTTGAGGTTTGGGGGTTATATTAATCACCACCAGTAATGAACTTCTATCATGTGAATAAATCATTCATGTGTGTGCGTGTGTGTGTGTGTGCGTGCATGTGTGCTTGTGGGTGTACATGCATGTGGAGACCAGATGACAACTTCAGGTGCCATCTACCTTGTGGTTTGTTTTGTTTTATTTTGTTTTGTGACAGTCTCTCACTGGTCTGGGACTTGCTGTTTGGGCTAGGCTGTGTTTGTGACAGTCTCTCACTGACCTGGGGCTTGCTGTTTGAGCTAGGCTGTGTGGCCACCAAAGTGTCTCTCTGTCTCACCAGTGCTTGGCTTCTAAGGATGTGCTACCAGGCTCAGCCATTTACATGGGTTCTGGCAATTGAACTCAAGTGCTTATTCCTGTACTGCAAGCACTTTATCAACTGAGCTCTCTCTCCAGCCTAATAAATCATTTTTAATGAAAAGATTAATATCTGATGATTTGGTTTTTATTATAAAACATTTATGGCAAGATGGTAAGTGACCCAAGGATCAGAGAGATGGCTCAGTGGTTAAGAATGATTCCTTCTCTTGCAGAGGTCTTGAGTTCAACTCTTAGCACCCACATGGTGCCCACAACCATTGACAATCGGTTCCATGGGATCCAACACCCTCTTCTGGGCTCTTTGAACACAGCACACATGTGGTGCACACATAAGTATGCAGGCAAAACGTTCACAGAATAAAATAAATAAATTTGAATAAAGATTAAAGAAAATTTAACAAACTAATGTCATCAATTATAGCCTGTGGTCTCTGATAGAAGATAAATCTTTAAACAAATTACAAAAAACTAGGAGGATGGGCTTGGCATGGAGGTAGTACTCAATTCTAATCCCAGCACTCAAGAGGCAGAGGCAGGAGGAAATCTGTGAGTTCAAGGCCAGTCTGCTCTACAGAGTGAGTTCCAGGACAGCCAGGGCTACATAGTGAGACCCTGTCTGAAAAAACTAAAAATGGAGGTTGTAATTAAGATTTCAAATATGAACATGAGTGTGGATATTAGGGAGTTATTAGGTTTTATTAGGTGTTATGGTTACAAAAGAAAACAGGTTTTTAAAAATGGATGTTATAATATGTACAGGTAAGTCTATAATTAAAAAGTTCAGTCATAAAACAAAACAACAAATAATGTCGAAAAGAAAGGAAACACTTTCAAAGTAGGCAATGCACGAATCCTACTTTCCTTTATGTTGATTTAATCGATGGGGAAGGGGCTTGGGAGGTAAGCATGTGAGTGATCTATCAATCACCCAAGTGTCCACGCGAGGCTCTTAGAAAAGACACTGCCAGCATGGTGGTACATGCCTGTAATCCTAACACTCGGGAGGCTGAGGCAGGAGGAATGTTGTGAGTTCTAGGCTAATCCTGGCTACACCCGTGAGTGCCAGGCCAGTCAGAGCTGCACAGTAAGGTCCTATCTCAAGAAAAAGCACAGTGCACAAAAAAGACACTGGATCTGAAAACTATGTAATAAAGAGAAGGAAGTAAAGCCTGTTGAAATTATAGTGGGAGAGTAAGCTTAAGAGTATTTCCATTAGGAGTGGGTTATGGATGTCATGGGCAGGTGATGGACACAGGTATTCCTCTTATATTCTTCTCAAGGACCTAATCCTTTTAAACTTCTGTATTCCAGGAAGCTGAGGATTTTCAAGGACAACATTAGTACCCCTTGAAGTCAATGGAATCTTCGCCAGTGATGACCTGTCACCCTACAAGTTCTGCAGCACAAACCTGCCTAGTTGAGCAACGCCCCTGCCGTGCAACTCAGGATTCATCCTGAGCAAAAGCCACTAGACTCATGTATACCTTCGTTACTAGGGTCTTACCTAATTCCAGAGTGCAAATGTGTTCTGCTTCTGTGAACTGGAAGTTACATTTTTGTCTTTCCACGTGCCTTATGGGGTATGACTTCTGAACTCCTGTGTGTATTGGCATCAAAGGACAGAAACATCAGCTGGCCTGCCTGCCAGGATATTTCTTCTCACATTTTAGTTTCTGTAGAACAACACAGAGGTAAGCTAAGGGGTCTAGAGAGATGGCTGAACCTTTAGGAGCACTTGTGGCTCTTACAGGGGACTCCAGTTCCGTTCTTAGCATTCACATGGTGACTCACAACCATCAGTAATTCCAGTTCTAGGGGGTGTGACACCCTCTTCTAGTGTCTACAGGTACTGCATGCACGTGGTACATGTACATACATGCAGGCAAAACCCCCATACGTAAAATGAAAATAAATAAAATCATAAAATGATGATGAGCTAAACCTCCCAGCCATTTTTGATTAACAGCAAAGCCCAAATTCACACTGGAAGTCTGATTTTCATGGCTGTCCTTAAGTAATAGACACATCTTGTTTAACTGAATTTTTCAGTATGCTAGGTTTATTGAACAATTAATCCCAGGTTTAGAGGTGACAGTGCAAGTCTAAGCACAGTAACTACAAAAGGTCACGAGGACACCAGTATACCAGCAAATGTTACCAGGAAGAATCACTCATCATCATTTTTATATTTTTCTGTTTTTAGGCAAGTTCTTATTATGTATCACTGGCTGGTCTAGAACTAGTTATGTAGAGCTGGTCTTAGAGTCAGAGAGCCCTCCCTCAGCTTTCAAGTGCTGGGATTGAAGGTGGACCTCCATATTCAGCCGCACAGCAGGTTTGTACTGGGTACAGACAGCTCTGCTTACTTCCTGCGTCTGCCTCTCTCAGCAGAACCCATGCTCCCATGCTCTTTGCAGACTAGAGTCCTAAGCAGTTAATCAGAAGACTTTGTGATATCATTGTATTATAACTTAAAAAAAAAAATTTAGACTCGTGAAGAAGGCCAACCCAAAGCAAATGACCATTCTGTACAGTCTAACATAAGTGTGAGAACTGGAAGCAATTATTTAAAGTTCTTTTGGTTTTAATTCACCTTATTTTAAAGAGAATTTGGGGAGCGGGAGAGATGGCTCAGTGGTTAAGAGCATTGCCTGCTCTTCCAAAGGTCCTGAGTTCAATTCCCGGCAACCACATGGTGGCTTACAACCATCTGTAATGAGGTCTGGTGCCCTCTTCTGGCCTGCAGACATACACACAGACAGAATGTTGTATACATAATAAATAAATAAATATTTAAAAAAAAGAGAGAATTTGGCAGGGATCAAAGAAATACCAAAACTACTTAAATGTAATGAACCAGTTTTATTTTTCCCCTTATTTTATAGTATAAAGCAAACTTTTACAATGGGCTGTGGGAAGAAGGGGGATGGATTTTTTTCTTTGCATCTAGTTACTTGGTGTGTGCACACAAGTCACAACAGCATTGTTTGGAGAACACAGAACATTTAAAAGTTTAGGCCTGGGTGAAGCTTTACAATGTGATGTTTTAGTCCTCATTAGGCTGGGCTGAACAGATTATTTCTTTTAATGAACTGGAATAGATTAATTAGTTAATTAATTAATCTATTAATCCAATAGATTGTATTCTTAGATCCAGGACCTTGACATTTTACCTAGTCTTTAAAGCAAGTTGGCACAATTTACATTTGAATCTTGGTCCTTGAAATTCATTCCATTTCTCTCATTCTGCTTTTTAAAAGTCTCTCTCTCTCTCTCTCTCTCTCTCTCTCTCTCTCTCTCTCTCTCTCCCTCTCTGTTAACTAAGACAGGATCTGTTCTGTTTGTAACCTTGGCTGTTCTGGAACTCACTCCGTAGACCAAGCTGACCTTGAACTCATAGAGTTCTGCCTCTCTCGTGCTGGGGTTTAAGGTGTGAGCTACCACATCCTGGCCTAAAAACTTTCTGAAGCCACAAGTTAGACCTGTATTTTCTCCTGCTCTTCATAATTCGCCATTGTGAATATAACAACTGGATATTTCTTTAAATGATGCCTCATGTATGTTTTCTATGTGTAATGAAGTGGTTAAAAACGTCTCCAGCAAACTCGCAAAGTGTACCTTATCTGAATACTCATGGGGCATCACAGCCTTGTTCAGTGTCTCCTTCCTAAGAGCACTTTTGTACTGTAACTTATTTTTTATTATGCCAGAAGCATTGTGTAAATAAAGCCTTAGTAATAAAGAATTATGGATTTTGTTATTTGCTTACGTACAAATCTGCAAAATTCATATAGCTGTTAATAGCAAACAAGGGGATATATTTTATATTTGCTCCAGTTTTCTTAGAGACAGTAGACTCAGTAATGGATGGAATTAATTTCAATTTTTTTCTAGTTTTCTCACATTGCTTTGTAGAGCTGGGAAATGGGCAAAATGATACTACATATTTGGAAGACTCATTTCTGGAGTCTAAGCCTAACCTTTACTAGGGTCTTACTAAGAAATACAGGCTGATTGTGGTCCTCCGGCCTCAGTGTTGCAGATCCTGGGTCTACAGGCTTTTGCGACCCTGCCTGGCTTAGTTTGGGGACTTTATAGTTATTCTCTTCACAGAGAAAACCACCAACTTTCAAGTCTAGTAAAGTGTGCCAGTTGAAAACATCACAGTGAGGAAATATTTCCAAAAGCTGAGGTTTTCTGTTTCCCTTGTCCTTTCCTTGACCATAGCGAGCCCAGGAGAACGGGTGACGACATGAGCCAGGCAGGGTTCTGTACCATCTTTTTTCCAGAGGATGTCAGACCATCTCATTTCATGTCTAAGAATATCATGGGCTACGATAGTAATACTTTTGTATTGATACATATCCTCGGCCCCCTTTGCCTCAAATACACGCTGTAGTGATTTCAACATCACTATCACTACTGTAATTTAATAAGCATCCCATTATGGATGATGTAGTGGCTACATTAGAAGGAACAGGAATGTCGAGGCTTGTGTGTATTCATCACAGGGCCCAATAAAGCTTTATTTATTTGACCCTGTACACTCGCCTAGGTCTCTCTGAACTTCAAATGTATGAGAATCTACTGTGAAGTTCAAATTAGACACTCTGGAGATAAAACTTCTGGATTACAGTCAGAGAATCAAGCCTGGTCCTGCAGAATTCCATAAAAGTAAAATTGTTTCCCCCAAAGTCTGTGGTTAATTTGAAGCAGAAGAGAGCAATCAGATCCTTTGAGAGCCAAAGAATTGCTGATGGGGGAAACCAGATAGGAGTCGGCTAACAAGCCACGTCCCTGAGGTAAATCCGGATGGCCATTTCAAGGTGTCTCCCGCGATGACGTCACTTCCGGTACCACCTGCGTGGTCCCCGGGAGCTGTAAACAAGGTGTGCAAGTGTCGGGAGAGCTGTCGGGATGCAGCTGCCAAGAGGAGCAGCAGGAGGCTGTGGCTGCGCTCTCTTTCCACTGCTGAGCATTCTATTTGTCCAGGGTGAGTGCGCCAGCTGGCTGGGCTCCACTTCCGGCCTGGGGGGGTCAGGGAAGATGGTCGCTCTTCCGGTTCCGGGTTGGGGGTCTCAGGAAACCCCCAGTTTGGTTTCTGGGAAGGGAGGGGATGTGGGAGGACCTTCTTTCCCGGCTGTCACCACCCACTGCGGAGAGTTGGTCCCCGGTCGGTGCCGGAGCTCTCCCTGGTGTGACTTGACCTTGCCTTGGTGATGCCACGACCCGACGAAACCACAGCGAGCTCGGGCTTTGCGGACACTCACTGTTCTCGTATGAGGTTATCAGCGACTGTCTGCCAGGGTTCTGTATTGCTGTTACACCCTGGCCAGGAATGGACTGTTCTGTTCGCCCCAGTTATTTTGAGAGACACAATAATGATTGTAAGGACTGGGAAAAAAAAAAAGAGAGAGAAAGAAAGGGATAAAGGGGTGGGTGGCGGGAGGGAAGGAAAATCTTGATTTGGCAATTTTATTTCAGGGGCTATGAAATAAAACACTTTCGGGAAGGATTATAGTGTAATTTTTTTTTTTAGAGCAGGCATACTTTATAAACATTCTAAAGTGTGAGAAAAGTCACAGGCGTTCTTTTGAAACTTGATCTTTTAGCTGTCGTCAGAAATACAGTGTTAGCCGGGTGGTGGTGGCGCACACCTTTAACCCCAGCACCCAGGAAGCAGAGAGGCAGGCGGATCTCTGTGAGTTCGAGGCCAGTGGGGTCTACAAGAGCTAGTTCCAGGACAGATTCCAAATCTACAGAGAAATCCTGTCTCGGGGAAAGAAAAATAAAGAAGAAGAAGAAGCACAGTGTTGACATAATGACAATATTGTAAGATTTGGATAATTTTGCTTTCTTGTTATTCCAAGTTTCTAATTTCAATTCAAACTAATTAACTTCATTTTGAGATCCAAAGTTATTTCCGGATTATTTTTTCTGCGTGTGTTTTCCTAAGAAATACAATACTAGTATAGCTAGAATTAGAACGAATTGTAATGTTTCCCTATAAACAATGGATGTTTCTGAAAGGGGTCTTTAATATTGTATAAAGATGAGCACATTTAGGTGGCTGAATCTCACCCGGTAAGGGAGAAGGTTTTCATTTATCTGGTGACTAATCTGCATGCTGCCAGCACACTCCCTCATCCCTCCCAGCTACCTGTGTCATCAGAAGTGTCCAGTTTTTCATTTGAGTTCTTTTTGCAATGGAGTTAGGCCTACTACTGTCATTTTATATAAACATATCTTTTTTCTTTTTGTATATACACAGCATGGGTGTTGGGGGAGAAATGTTCAAATCCTGTCCCATTGAAAAAAATTCTAGAAATAGTGGTCATTTTGTAAAACCAGAGTCACTTCGCATTGAAGAGCAGGTGTCAAATCTAGCAGAACAAATGGGTCAAACGTAAGTTAATTTGGGGGCCTGGTGCGATGGATCAGTGGGCCAGGGTGCTTGCCATGTAAGCCCGAGGACGTGGTTCCAACTCCAGATCATACATTACCAGGGGAAGGTGAGAACCCACTCAACGGACCTCTCCATGTGTGCACACATTCTAGTAATAGTTCTGAAGTTACTGATCTCTAGGTACTTCTAAAATAGTTTTGAAGTTGTTGATCTCTGGGTACTTCCTGAATAATTTGTATTCCTCAGCTACTCCTCCAAGTCTTCTTTAATAGATTTATATTTTGCCTTAAAAATCAATCAACCAACCAACCATCCAACCAAGGGGGCTGGAGAGATGGTTCAGCAGTTAAGGGCACTTGGTGCTCTTCCATATTGCACCAGTCCCCCAAATTAACTTACGTTTGAACCATTTGTTCTGCTAGATTTGATTACCAGCATCCAGATGGGGGCTCACAATGGTTTGTAACTCTAATACCAGGGAATCAGATGCCCTTTTTGACTTCCAAGGACAAGAGAAGAGGATGCAATAATGACAGAAAACCAGCCTGGATTACACTTTTCTCTTTTTCATATAAGTGCAAGTACTATGTGAATTCAAGCTGGGGAGATTTACATTTTGGAAAATGGGATGTATAAAATTAGGGACTTTTTTGTCATGTTTTATTTCTACCAGCTCTAAAATAATTTGTGTTAGAATGAGGTTTTATTTTCTAACATCCATTAATTGATTTTTAAAAATTTTTATGATCAGATGTTTTTATTTGGCCAGGATAAATCTCAAACCAGAGCATGGTGATCCTATCACTTGAGATGCTGAGGCAGGAGGATCGGCCAGCCTAGCCTTGTCTACATAACATGATCCTGCCTCAAGAAACAAAAGAAATAAAATAAAAATTAAGTATCTGAAAAGATATTATGCTAAAATGTGGAAAATTTGAATGAATGTAGCATAGGATTAGAAAGTTTTTTAAGAAGGGAGTTGATAGAAATATGGAGAGGGAATATGGACTGAAGAGAAAGGGGTAGAGAGAGATGGAGGAAGAGGGAAAAGAGAGATGGAGGGAGGGAAAGGAAGATAGAGAGAGGGTGAGGGGAAGGAGATAGGAAAGGAGGAGAAAGACAGAGAGAGAGTGAAGGGGAGAGAGAGACTGGGACTCTGGAGAACTGGAGCAACTACAGAGGTTCTGATTTCTAACTCTAACCTAGATTTTGTCTTGGCTCTAAAGCAGGTATCGGCAGTTTCCAATAGTGGGATGTGAGTGAACATTTTAGACTTTGTGAGCACCTGTTCTCTGCTGCATCTTCTCAGTCTCTGCCAAGTGTGCAAAAGTAGCCACAAACAAACCAGTGTGGTTGCATTCTATTAAAACTCCATTTACATAAAGATGTTGAAATGTTTTAGCTGTTTGCAGGAAAACTACTGGAGAGATTGATGGGTTTGGATAATCTGGGTTGCCTGCAGGGCTGAGAGCAGGGTCACTGCTAATTACTATAGGTTCTCTTTCTTGTGAGAGCCATTTGCTTCCACTTGAGTCATTGCTGACCCCTGATGTGTGGTTCTTTTTTGACTTGATTTTCCTTAGGTATCAAAGACATCCAAACTTACTCAGAATCAGACTCATGCCCCTCCCCCACAAGCCTGGTTTTCCTCCTTGAGTGAAACTGAGAGTCATTCTCAACACCTTTCTTCCTTCTAGCGTTAATTTCTTATGGGAACTGTCTGTACATTTGGGTGGGTTTTTTTTCCCTCCTTTAGTACACCAGCCCAGTCTAGAAGTGATTATCAAGAACTGATATTTTCCCAAATGGGTACAGACAGAGCACTGAGAGAGATGTTGAAAATTCCCTAAGGAAGGTTGGTAGGGAGAGAAGGAGTGAGCACATGTTGTTCTTCCACTAGTAATCGTGGTGATCCTCCCCGTTTCCCTCTGCTTGCCTTCTCTCTGAAGTTTTGCCCTGACGGTACTTGTATTTTGTGAAGAAAATGACATTTATAAGTCTGGTGTAGTCATGGCATATGTGCTTGGGTAGTATTGTGTAGGGAACTTCAGAGGAAGAGCAAAGAACTTCAGGGAATTTGGGTATCACAAAGCAGGCTGGTGTTTTGAGCTGGTGGGGAGCAACTCTGGCAGGATGGTAGGAGCGGAGAGGATCTTTCTAGACAAAGATGTATTCCGAGGAAAGCATAGAGACATGAAAAGACACAGTATCTTTGGGAAATGACTGGACATCCAGGCATAGGGAAGGGGGTAGAAGGGGTAGTTGACAGTGTCTGGGACAGACTATTCATGTTTAGGTATTAATTCCCAGCCCAGCAGGGAATTAGTTCAGAATCTTTAGTATGTGTGGTGTCCACTTTAATAATAATAGTTGCTATTTGTTAAAAGTTTTTATCTCAAGGGATCTACTAAGTCTTCTATGACTATTTCTTTGTTTGTTTGCTTATTTATTGTGGTACTAGGGAGAGAGCACAGAGCCTCACACATTCCAGGCCTGTATATGTTTAAAGTGTATTGGATGCTCCCAGTGACCACAGGAGGGCTATTCTTTCCATTTACCTAGCTCTCACAGCCGGAAGTCAGATGGGCTAGAGCTTGGCGCAGTTCTGACTAAGTTCAAATCTTCTACTTCAAGCTCTATATTATATGTATGTTTTAGGCTGAAAACATTGGATAAGGAGCTGTGTAATTTGTGGGTTCATTCTACCTTTCAGGTTTTAGACCTGAATCTCCAGTGCTGAATTGGAGTTTTCTCCATGTTGATGGGTCAGAAGTGGTTGAGGGCATGAGAACAAAGCCTTTTTCTGTCAGAGGAATGGACATTTACAAAGGCAAACAAGAAATGGCAGATAGCTGGGTGGTGGTGGTATGTGCCTTTAATCCCAGTATTTGGGAGGCAGAGGCAGGCAGATCTTGGTGATTTCCAGGCCAGCCTGGTCTACAAAGCAAGTTCTGGGACATCCAGGACAGTTATACAGAGAAGAAATGGCAAATTTAGCGTGGCAGTCAGAAGGGATACTCTGCAGGGAACCCAAGGGCCATCATCTTTGAGATGGGTCAGATTCTTATTAAAGGCCTTAATAGCGAGCTCTGTCTTGATCTCCTCCTTTCGGGAGGAATGTGACCAGACTAGATCGTCCAGAGAGGAGTGAGAAAATGAGTCAAAGCTGGCAGAGGTGAAGGTACTGGGACAATGACTCAGATATGCCAGCGGTAAGCAACGCTGAGAGCCTGTAGGAGAAAGAGCAGGCGGTATCAGAAGGCATGGGGCGTTTGCTCCAGGTAGGTAGGCTTTCTGGGTGTTGTGTACGTTTTAACTCATTAATCCCCACAGTGGCCTAAAGGTAAGCCCCATTTCTGCCAGGATGAGCAAACTGAAGGAGGAAGGTAACTTGCTAAGCTGCTCAGAGCCAGCGATAGGGCTGGGGCTTGAACTCAGATCTCCTGGCTTAGGCATCTTTGTGTTCAACCATTACACCACCCTGCCTATGCCAGAAAGACCACTGGATTTTTACAGCAGGGTGTGGATTTGCTCTTTTCTGAAACCTTGACTACCAGAAGAATCTTGGATTAGTGAGGTAGAGAAGGAAGTAGAAAAACTGAAGGATTGTGTTTTCATTTTCTAGAATAGTGCTCTCCAGGGGGAGATGTGTTTCTAGTCACTAGAAGTTGGCTAGAAGAGACAAAGTGCCGGGTGTTTTTTGTCTGTCTCCTTCCTTCCTTCCTTCTTTTCTTCCTTCTTTCCTTCCTTCCTTCCTTCCTTCCTTCCTTCCTTCCTTCCTTCCTTTCCTTCTTTCAGAAAGGTGGAGTGTTAAAGTTGGCATGAATGGTTTTAGAAAAACCACACTGCAGGCTTTAAAAATGATATCTTACTTTTACATTGTAAAATATATTCAATTTTATTTTTCTTATCCATAATTTACTTTTTACCCTTCCTTCCTTTCTTTTTTTCTTTTTCTTTTTTTTTTTGATACTAAGAATAGAACCTGGGCCCTCCCAAGTTAAGGCAGGTGCTCTGCCTTGAACTACACCTCCAGCCTGCCCTCCATAATTTACTTTTAATAGATGTGTGATTCACTAACCAGCTTTGAGAGGAAGCCTAGCTGGGTGTGGTGCTACATGCCGGTAATCCTAGGTCTTGAAGCCTGAGTCAGGAGGACTGTGAAATTAGGCCAGACTTGGCTACATAGCAAAGCCCTCTCTCAAGAAGAGGAGGCGAGGCAGTAGAGGGAAAAGAGGAGGAAGAAGAGGTGTTAGAGGGAAGGACCAGCAGTTTAGAACACTTAGAGTTCTTCCAGAGGATCCAAGTTCAGTTGTAACTCAAGCTCTAGGGATAACGCCTCCTGCCTCCATTGGCACCAGCACTTGTGGATGTGCCCATACACATATATACACATAATTAAAAAATAGAGATAATTTTAAAAAGAAAAAGAAGAGAGGAGGGGGAAGACTAGGTATAAACCTTCAGAACAGTTTAGAGCATAACTTTCCTATTTGTAGTTTCTGTCTTCATTTTGCTACTGGTTGAAACACTAGTAGTTTCTTTTCCTTTTCTTTTCTTTTTTTTTTTTTTTTTTTTTTTTTGTTTTTTGTTTTTTTTTTGTTTTTTTTTTT